GGGGCCTCAGATTCTGCCCTGTTTTTTTTTTTTTAGAGGGTTTATTTTATTTTTAAAGTTTATTTATTTATTTTGAGGGCGAGGTGCAAGCAGAGGAGGGGCAGAGAGAGAGAAGGAGGGAGAGAATCCGAAGTAGGCTCCGCACTGTCACTGAGGAGCCATGAATTGTGAGATCATGACCTGAGCCAAGATCAAGAGTCAGATGCTTAACTGACTGAGCCACCCAGGTGCCCCCAGATTCTGCGTTTTTAACAAGCATACTGATATTGGTAGTCAGTGGACAGGATGCTTCAAACAAGGATGTTGAGAGGGCTCTTTGCTGAGTGCCACGCACTTCCTGCTATTAATTCTGTAGGGTTTACTTCCTCTGCCCTTCCAGTTAGTATTTAAATTCCCTTACTTAAAAAAAAAAATTGTTTTAATGTTTATTTTTGAGAGAGAGAGAGAGAGAGAGAGAGAGAGACAGAGCATGGTTAAGGGAGGGACAGAGAGAGGGAGACACGGAACTTGAACCAGGCTCCAGGCTCTGAGCTGTCAGTGTAGAGCCAGACATGGAGCTCGAACCCATAGACTGTGAGAGCATGACCTGAGTTGAAGTCCGGTACTTAACCAACTGAGCCACCCAGGCGCCCCTAAGTCACCTTACTTTTTAATTCCAAGTTGGGCTTATTTCTGAGTGTCATCATCTTTTCCAGGATAGAGGGGAAAAAAAATTAACTTAGGTTTTATTTCATGGAAAACAATTTCATAGTTAAATGAAATTTAAAATAGGAAGAAAGCTTACTTTTCTCTAGTGCTATTTTTCTCTTGTTCATAAGCCATAGGCAGGTCGTAGTAATAAACATGGAAACATTTTTTTGGCCTTCTCTTGATCTGAGCTAATACAAAATTCCTCTATATCACTATGTGTCCCTTATAGATATTATTTCAAAAATTGACTTTAAATCATCACTTTGACAACTGACTATCAAAACATGACTATTACATGTTTTGGCATGTAATAGTCATGGTGGTAGAGACAGTATTTATAAAGTCAGCATCTGGAAAAGGATGACCTTAGCCTGTTAACATTGAAGGTCACTGAGCAGATCAGATGAGATCAGAGCAGATTCCTGGTTCTGGTGGATTGAGGGACAAGTGGAATTGAAGGATTCAGAAAAGGACCAGTGTTTCTTGGACAAAGGAACCTTTGGAAATAACGTAAACCAAGCAGCTCCCCAAATCTTAAATACCCCTCACCTGCTGCCAAAGAGACGATTCAATTTATCTTCTTTTTAATTGATGCCTAGGATTTCCAGTGAGTTGATGTGACATTAAGTATCTATTTATGGACTTTATTTCCTGTGTTTCTCCAGAATATAGACACTATGATGAACATCTTCGTGCATGTGGATTATTTTCTTTTGAATTATTTCCATGATATAAATTCAAGGAAATAGGATTGCTGGTTTAAAGGGTATGGGCATTTTCATGACATTTGATGGGTCCTGACAAATGACTTTTCAGTGGGGCCATACCTGATTCCAGTGCCCTGAATGGTGTGTGGTTATAACTTTTCCAAAAATGGATTTCATAACTTTACTTTTACCCCCATCCACCCCGAACTAAATAAGAGCAAAATAGCTCATTTCTTTGCTTGAACATTTTCATATATATTTGTGAAATATGTATTTTCTCTTTCTTGTGAACTGTCAAACTTGAACTTTCGATTTGCATTTTAATCAGTGTTCTTATGGGCATACAGTGAGTCAAAACTTAGGCATGGCTTTATCTTTGTTAAACATCGAACACCCACTCACCCCTGAAATATAGAAGTTGTGTATGAGTTGGGGCACCTAGGTGGCTCAGTTGGTTAAGCATTCGACTTTGGCCTAGGTCATGATCTCGCCGTTCCCGAGTTTGAGCCCCGTGGTGGGTTCTTTGCTGACAGCTTGGAGCCTGGAGCCTGTTTCAGATTCTGTGTCTCCCTTCCCCCACTCATGCCCTGTCTCTGTCTCTCTCTCAAAAATAAATAAACATTAAAAGTTGTGTGTGAGTTAACTTTAGCGAGCTAGGTCAGCTATTTTCATTTTAAGCTTTATAATATCCTGGTTCCTGTCTTCTGCATGGTTTCTTGTTTATCAACCCGTCTCTTAAGTGTAGGGTTAGAGCTGAAAACAGGCCCAGCTGTAGTCCAGCTAGTGTAGCCAGTTGTTGGTTGTTGTTTTAAGGCTGCCTTGACCTGTTTCAGGGGCCTTGCCTTCAACCATAAGGAATAACGAATTAGATTAACTGGGAGAGGGTGAAGTTTTCTTCTTTCTTTCTTTCTTTCTTTCTTTCTTTCTTTCTTTCTTTCTTTCTTTCATTTGGATGCTTAGCCAACTGAACCGCCCAGGTGCCCCAAATTTATAATTTTTTTAAAATATGAAAACAAGATTTTACATTTCTGTTACATTATAACCACAAAGAAAACATTATATATATATAAATATAATTTTTGATTTTCCAGAAAGAAGAAATTAAGAAGAATATTTTCATCATATTTTATCAAGGAGAGCAACTCAGACAGAAAATCAAGAAGATCTGTGATGGGTAAGAGACTGTTCATGGCTCTTTCATCAGGGATTGGGTCATGATTAGGTGAAGAGGGATGGGAGACAGAGTACTCTTGACTGGGCCTTCTTTGAGATCCCTTAGGATTTTAGAACAACTTTCTGACGTTTGACCAGGTAATGTTAAACATGAGACTGATTTTTATGGGGCACCTGGGTAGCTCAGTCAGTTAAGCATCTGACTTCAGCTCAGGTCATGATCTTGAGGTGAGTTCGAGCCCTGAGTTGGTCTCTGTGCTGACAGCTCAGAGCCTGAAGCCTGCTTTGGATTCTGGTCTCCCTTTCTATCTGCTGCTCCTCCACTCACATTCTCTCTCTCTCTCTCTCTCTCTCTCTCTCTCTCTCTCTCAAAAAAAAAAAAAATTAAACAAATTAAAAAAATTTTTTTTAATGTTTATTTATTTTTGAGACAGAGACAGAGCATGAAGGGGGAGGGTCAGAGAGACAGGGAGACACAGAATCTGAAGCAGGCTCCAGGCTGAGCTGTCGGCACAGAGCCCGACGTGGGGCTCCATCTCACAGACTGTGAGATCATGACCTGAGCCGGAAGTTGGAAGCTCAACTGACTGAGCCACCCGGGCGCCCCTAAATTTTTTAAAATGCAAATAATTTTTAAGAGCTGTGGGACTAGGAGCAGAGAGGACTTGAATCAGCAAAACTCAAGGTAACTAAAAGTAGACATTGTAATCAAATAAGTGTATTCCCTCTCACACCCTTTCTCAGCCACTAATGAGTAGGCAAACTGCATGCTGAATTGTTTCTGATTTTACAGAATCGTTTTATTCCAGCAGAAATTATTCAGTAGGGAAGGACGTTATTGCATTAATATATTCTGGGGACAAGAAGAGACAAGTCACGCTGTAGTCTTATTTACATAACAGCCCACAGTTTCTTTGGTTTGAACGAAGCTCATTCATATAATAGAACCATAGCTTTAATTCAAATAGTGCGAGCAATGCGTTGGGAACCCTTAGAACTGGGATTCGCTTTCCGAGTGCCAAAGAGACAGTTATTCTAGAAAAGGATGGTCATCCAACCGAAGCCAGGGATGGCTAGCAGAAGAGGACATGTGGAATGCTTTTCCACAGTAACCCCCCGCCTTGTGACCTTTGGAATGTATGAAAACACAGGTTTCGAGCCATCATATATCCCTGCCCGGAGCCTGCAGCGGAGCGCAGAGAGATGCTGGCCGGCATCAATGTGAAGCTGGAAGATTTAATCACCGTGAGTGAGGCGTTGAGGCGCGTGACCTACCTCCCCCACTTCCAGAGAAGTCCTGTGTCCCAGGGCCCTCGCTTCCAGCCTGGCTGGAATGGTAGCTGTGCTCTCCCAGCTACCACTGCAGGAGATTTCGTAATCAGAAAGCAGTGTTCACGGGGGTGCAGGGGGTGATTGGGGATGTCAGTCCTGCTCTTCCTGGGCCGAGAACTGACCGCAGCCCCAGTCGGCTTTTGGGTGGCCAGCCCAGTCTGATATTATCACCGAGGCCACATCTATGGTACAGCTAACTAGCCAATTCAGTTGACCAACCAGTCTGACGGATTCTTTTTCCATGGACTCACGCACTTCTTTGAGCTGACCAATTACTTCTGTAAAAACAGTGAGTGAGTCCTGTTTCACCGAGGGCACATACCTCAAATTCAGATCCTTTTGTAAAGTTAGTCGTCCCCCAGGGTGACACTCAGCACTTCTGTGATTAGAACACTTGCTTCAGTAAACTTTCAAAGTAGTCTCTGAATGCTGCTGGGCCTACGTCAGGTTGTTTATTGTAGATGAATGCGTTCCACCGGAACTTTCTGTGGACATGTTGTCTGACTTGCAATGCCGTGGCCATGAGCTCCACGTAACCACTGAGCACTTGACACGTGGCTAGGGCAGCTGAGGAACTGAATGTTTTTTTCACTTTTTTAAAATTTGTTTTTTAAATTTTTTAACATTTATTCATTTTTTTTCTTTTTTAAAAATTTTCTTTTTTCTTTTTTTAAAATTTACATCCAAATTAGTTAGCATACAGTGCAACAATGATTTCAGGAGTAGATTCCTTAATGC